GGGCCATGGCGGAGTGCAATTCAAACAGAGGAGGAGTATTTACAGGAGTGGTCATTCTGCAAGATTTAAAAAAAAAAGAAAAAAAAAGGCCACCGCTTCTGGTCTCCGCAGGACAGTAGAATTGGCACAATGCGGATGATTGTGTGTGTGTTTTGAGATCAAGCGTGCTCCTGGAAGAGGGACGAGACAATGAATGTCTTTTCCTCTTTTGTCCGCTAGAGGTCAGTGTGAGCTACTGAAATGCCTTTCAACGTCTGCGCTTGAGAAGGGAAGATGCTCAGCCCGAATTCTCACCTTGAGCCGGTAGAGTTTTGGTTGGTCTCGACGCTGCTCGTTTTAGTATTCGGATTAATGTTCTGGTTCATATCCATTTAGGTGTGAGGCGACGCTCGTGAGGATAAACGGCTCAGAGAATGAATCAATTCACGTTTAAAATTAGAGGCATTTTTTTGGGGGGGGGGGGGTGGGCTACTTGCAGTAGGGACTCTGTCCCTATCCCTTGAAGTGGTGATGGATTCCTGGCACATCATCATCAGTGAGGATCACTTCATAAGGCCGGCCGCTCTCGACTACTTCAAGGGGAAGTCCAAAATTGACCTCACAATATGTTCCATTTGGGGCCTTGCTGGTCTAACCACGGCATTCGGCCCAATATTGCGTTTGTGGAAAATGAATGAAGCAGAATTTTTTTTTTTTCCTTCAAAACACCGTTTTTATCCATCTCACAAGGCGGCCATTTTGCCTTGCGCTGCCACTCGCCATCGCCTGAAAATGACTTAAGGGCTCAGCTTGCCATCGTCACATGATCAAACGCAGAAAACAGGTGAGCCACGATTGCCATTTTCAGCCGACAGCATGGGACAAATTGGACGCCAACTGAGATTGATTTAAAAAAAGAAAAAAAAACAGGTGGATTTTGCTGCTCTATCCATATTGCACTAGCAAGTTTAATCAGAATGCCGAGTTGAGACTAGTGAGGTGCATGGAACATATTTTTGTCAATATTTTTTTTATTGACTCGAGTTCCACTTCAACCAGAACTCCCTGCAGTTCAGTCTGTCTTGTGCTCTTTATCCTGCTCTGTTCTTTGCCGGCGATACCTCATGTCGGTGGCATCCGTGTTGTTCTCACCTGGTGAATCCGCCATTTTGACTCTGCGCGTGTCCATGTAGCTGACGATGAACTCGGAGTTCTGATAGATGAGCATGCCCGACAGAGTGAGGGCGATGCCAGCGCAGCTCAGCGAGGACAGCTCGTTGCCGAAGAGCAGCTGGGAGAGCAGGAGGTTGCCCACCACGCTCAGGTTGCCCAGGATGTGGAGGGTGACGGCCGACGTGAGCGTGATGACGCAGCTGCTGGCCAGGTTGTACAAGACCGAACCGAGGCAGCTGAGCAGGATAAAGACCCACAGGCGCCGGTCGTAGTGCAGCGGCGACTCCAGTAGGGCCCAGTTCTCCAGCGCCAGCGCTGCCACGGCCAGGATGAGGAAGCTGGGGATGGACATCAGGTAAAGCAGGAACACCGAGTTGATCTTCTCCTCCTGGAGGAGAATGCCTGACGGGAAACGACGGTTCACCTTGGTCAGACGACACAGTGAAGTTTGCTTGTTTTTCCACAGTTTTTCGTGAAATTTGCCCATATATGAGCAGGAAACGATGACAATTATGTAATTGTGCTGCCGTCCACTTTTTTTCTCGCGCTTACTTAACCATGTTACAGGCACTAATCTACTCACAGACGACACTCCTGTTGAAAAAAGAAAAACCTACTCAAGTTTAGCCTGCGGCAATTGTTTCTTCTCCTCGGGAAAAGAACTTGAGATGAATAGAAACATTGGCTTCATTTAGTGAAGGAATGATCACTCCGCATGACATGAATTCCACAGAGCAATGTGTCCCAGTCCCACCATTTTGCTGCTGGAAGTTCTTTGAATGAAACATCCAAAAAGCCTGAATGCTGCACCACAGCTGCCAACTTGTACAGCGTATTTGCGGAAACAATTTGTTCTGCCAATGTTTCGTTTTGTGGAGAAGCTACACACAGAGCAAAATTACTAACTTACATACTGTGAAATGCACTGCCAAAGACAAAGTTTTGAGTATAAACGATCTAAATCAATGCAACAAATATTATCCCACTGGTAATGTACTGGTAAATGCTTGGTGGGCCAGATTAGAGAATGCACTGGCACAAGTCCAATCGTTTTCTGGGCCAAAATAGCTTGAGACAGGTGAAAAAAGATCGAGTACAACTTACTCTGTTGAATGGACTTGACGCCCCTAAACATGGTGGCGGCGATGACAAACAAGCAGCCCGTCTGGTCATACTGGACCTCCCCCATGATACTAAAAGAGGCCCCCAGGCAGATGGGCATCATGGCCGTGTACTTGAGGATGTGATGCTGCTTGCCCAGGATCAGCGTGGAGATCGCCAGAGTGAAGAGTGGAGTGGTGGTGTAGATCATTTGAGCGAAGGACAGTTGCACATAGTTCAGACCCATGTTGCCGAAGGCGATGCTGGCGCAAAACGTAAGACTCAGCAAGAAGACTTTACACTTAGCCCCAGGGGTCAACTCTTGCTCCACCGCCCCTGTGTGGCTGATCACTCGCAGTTTCATCAAGCCGTAGTCCACCACGATGGCTGTCAGCATGTGCAGAGCGGACAACAGCAGGGGGTACCTGAAGTTGTACACGGCAAAGATCCATTTGTTGAGGCTGGAGATGGTGGTGCCGGTCACAAGCCAAACAATGATTGCAGAGAGCAGATGCAACATCTCTGCTGGGGGTCTCCTATTGCCTCCCGGTTGCGCGCTCGCATCGTACTTGGAGAAGCCATCAGCGTGGATCATGATGCGATCATCGTGCTCACTGTTGAGGAAGTGTCGATACAACACGTTAAAGCGGACGGACTATGGAAAATTGACTTTTAACTCTTTCTCTGCTGTGGAAGTTTGAGGGCCATTATAGAGTAATGTCAGAGATTGTCAGGTACCATGTGATCGTGGGTCCCTTCACCTCAAATTGACCCCTGATTCTCTGTGCTTCCATTGTGTGCAAGATGTTCTGAACAAAGGCATTTCGAGGTCAATCAAACATGTAACAAAATGAAACTTTAAACATGACAACATTGTATCTGTCTACTCTAACAGTTTCAAAGCCAATTTAAAAATGTTCAAAACAGCACCGCCCATTTGTTCAACTATATTCATGGTCCTGGTTACATTCAGGGTGACAAAAGATAAGGTATTAAGACACTTGGGAACTTTAAAATTAGTTTTTAAGATAATTACAACAATGCTGAAATTGCTGAATTGTACAGCACTCCTCTCTTCCGCCTCTGTCCACGTGCTTTTATTTTGATGACGTAGGGGTAGCGAAACGACCTGCCAGGGTACAAATAAACTGCGGTATATCGCACAAAAAAACACGAGAACCAGAGAAGACTGGAAATGTAGCGCTAACTTGCTTGCCGATCGAACCAAACACTGCCTGTGACACACGCCTGAGCGGAAAAAAAAATGCAGATGACGTAATGGGTGAATGAATATAGAAATGCCAAAGTAGACGCGTCAAGATTCACCGTAAAGTTAACCACAATGTATCTACAAGTTTATTGCCACAAAGCTTCCGGACATCTTCCTGAATATTTTAATAAAGCCGATCAGTCAATACTCACTGTCTTCTACGCGTCAGCTAGCTAACAGCGAACCATTTCATCCCGCCGTTTCAAATTAGCGTGGCTTGACATAGCTGCGTGTTCAACGCAAAATATCTATATTAAGGACAACGATAGTTTGTTTTAATAAAACTCAAAACGCTTACCTTATTTGACCTTTTCAAAGAGCCGGTCTCCCCTCGGTCGTGTTGTCATGCTAACGTTCGTTCGTGGGTAGCTAGCAGTCTATCAAAAGCATGTTAGCCTTTCACTTTCGTGACGTCGACTGCGCTCCGTTCACGTTGCGGCGCATTTCCCTCAAATCATACAAGATTCGCCGCTCATTGGTTTGTCCTTCGGCGAGCTCATTGAAAGTAGAGTGTCGGCTTGTCAACATCGCAACCTCACCGCATCAAGGCGGTCTTGAAAAACGTCAACTGCACTGCGTGTTTTTTTTTTCAATTAAAGGGCCAGAGCACCATTTTGGAGCCATGTGTGTACAGCAGTCATTTGAAGGCCAAAGGCAAACTCAGACATGGCCCCTCTACATTAGTGCGCAGCAAAGATTTTGAATATTATTTTTTTTATAACTTCAAAAGTATGAATCTGCATAAAATGTATATATCGATATATTCTGATGCCTTTACCGTAATTTCTAAGAACATTAATCATCATTTAATGTAGACTGGTTCGTAACGTAAACTGCGCAGCACACCAAAAGTCAGTTAGCAAGTCTTGTCAGTGATCTGACTGAACGATCGGCCACGTCTATTTTGGAAGCAATTTACCTGTTGACAAGCAAATTCTTTCTTAGTTCCAAGCAATCTCCCATACTTTACGTTTTCATTTCAACTGACACTGAAAACATTAAACGATGGTGGTAGAGTACAGAGGGAGAAAAACACATTTGAAACCATCAACCCTGTTTCTTCAATCCCTTTGCCTTGGACGAAGGACGGGAAAGGGTTTGTTTTATGATGTCATGTGAAAGGAACAAGGGATAATTTTAGTCTCCAAACAGCCTATTTTTGGAGCGACTGTTCATTTTCACATTTATATATTGCAAGTAATATGTCTTTGTTTAGCTATCTATGCTGGCTAACTTTTTACATTGGATGGCAGAAGGCACAATTAACGAGTACCGGTATATATATCCAACCAAATATGAATTCACACTCAGACCATTTGTGAACTGAAACAAGGTCTGTTTTAGTTTACTATACAGTACTCTTTTTTTATGGTGTGATGTGACATTTTTTTTAATGTGCCTTGGCTAAAGTACAGTAAATGATTTGAAATAGCACAATATCATTGTGCCGCCTTAATGAACAATTGATTCCCTGCTGAAAAATTATATAACAAAAGGTTTATGTGCTTGGTTTCAAACATTAATTCTCACATAAATGCACCGATTGATACTATGAACACACTCATTGACCACTGTATTAGGTGCATTTGGACAATCATTCACTATGTACAGACATAATATTTAGAAATTTATTTCCAATACATTTTATACACACTGTCTTTCCCAGGGCCTCCGCCCTTTGCACTAACCTGCAGCACACCAACTCCACTACAGTTCTGATGACTAACATTCATCTGAGACAGCGTTGATTCACTTGTACATCTTTGAAGTCACACCCATGGAATTAGTTGCTCGGTGCGAAGCCACTCCCTAATTACCATACACAACTATGATGACTGTGAACTTTCTGGACTGTCCTCTCACTTGCATTCAGTTTCTGCAAGTGTTTAGATACTATAAACTGCCCTGTTGCACAGATTAAAAAAAAAAAACAGTTCTGGCATAAAAAGGGATACAAACTTTCCATTCTACATAATTAAGCAGCCGAACAGGAAAAAAAAACGTTGCTCATTATTAACTGTATTACATCAAAGCATGTCAATCATACAGTCCTCAATGTATGGCCCCTTTTACGCTGACAGTAGTGAGTACCGGCATGGACAGTAAAGACTACCCCAGCGTCGGGTTTTTATTTGAGCTAGAAAAAAAAAAAGGTAACATTTTCAAGGTCGTCGGGCACAAATGGTGAGTTCACATGTTCCAGTAAGAGTCCCACTCACAGTTATTTGAAAGAGCTTCACACCACTTTTTAAACAGGCGCTCAAGTCAAGTGCCCCCGCCCCCAAAAAAACATGCATAGCTAGCTACTGTACTGTACATGTAGTGTGTCAAAAGCTTGGTATTTGGGTAACTTGGGTGTAAACTTCACTGTTGTGCTTTATCGGAACAACGCATAGCCGAAAAACTCAAAAGTATAACCTAACCAAACATCTCATGATATTTATACAGTATTTTCTTGATGTAATGTTAAACAGGAGAGTCAAGTAAATATGGAATACCCTTTCACAATAATTTTGAACGACATCATTCTACTTCTACTATATTTTTCTGAAAGGCAGGCAAAAAAGTCAACCAGCGACTCATATATGTGAACAATAAACAGATTATTATTTTTAAATGTCCATACTAAAGCGGAGTTGCGCCCAAAGCCTTCGGTACTTGTGCTGCTTTGATAGCATTATTGATCCTTAATAAATAGGATGTTGATATATAAATAAATTGGCATTCAGAATACGGTATACGGTTTTTTTTGTGCATCTTAAAAGCACATTTTTCTGCCTGAGCCTATTTTTTGAAGTAAGAGTGCAGTTGACTTATTGCAGACATCTCTAAACGGTAATTACATGGCACAAGCACTCTTATAACTCATTTGTGACAGGTCCAACATGGCCCACAAGTTTGTTGCTGTCAAACTCCCGATTATCTAGGCTCAATCCATTATGTCCTTCAGTGAAAACGTAATTAAAGCAACAATTCCTTCACATACGGTCTCAATGAAATTTCAACCCTTCTACTTAATCTACGATTTAAAAGTCAGATTGCATACATTTCATGTAATGGATAATGACTGTTCTCTAGGAACAATTAAGACCTCACTTTACTAGTTCATTCATGTTTAAAATGCTAACTATGTCAAAGTAGCCTACATCCTAACAATAGCTTTTATTGTTGCCAAAACATTTACTTGGAAAGGAGCTTCCTCCCATCTAGGCAATTTCAGAATTCAATCATGTAAATGAAGTCAGGTGTTGTCAGAAGACGCAAGTATCAAGAAGCATGTCCTTCCAATCTCGAGAACAGCAACAAGTATGTTTTGGCTTACATATGATCTGACCGTATACCTTAGTCCACCTTGTCTAAGTGTCAGCCACTGGTTCCATTTGTTCTAGAAGATTTCGGGGCACATGCTCCAGTCCTGCCGCTCTTTGGCCTCCCAGTAGCCTCCCCTGTAGACGTAGCTGCTTTCTCTTGTTGTTTCATCTGTTCTCTTCTCGAACCACATGGGCTGGTACACCTCCACCTCTTGCCCTGCACACATAAACAGATCATGGGTTGTATTTAACTGATGTTGTTGCATTTTAGATGGCCTAAAACACGGATTGGAAAATGCCCAACCACACTATTTACACAGAACAGAACTCTGTTGTGAAGAGAAACTATGCTAATGAGCTAATGCTAAGCCCCTAAAATGTTCGTTGCTGCCGATGTGCTTTAACTGCCGCTAAATTCAAAATACACCCATACAATACATCTTTATTCATACAGCGCTTTCACAACAGCTGCGTATTTCGATGCACTCAATGGAGGAGGGCCTCTCTTGATTTTTAAAGCAGAAGGCTCAGGTCATTAGCAGATTAGCTTATAATGACATATTCAGAATAAAGTTAAAATATGTATGTAAAAAATGCAACACTTTTTTTATATTAATCACAAAATCATCTTAAAAAACATATCGTTTTAATTAAATAGAGGCCAAATAATTGCTTTTTTTATATTAATCACAAAATCATCTTAAAAAAAACATATCGTTTTAATTAAATGGAGGCCAAAGAATTAAACCGTTTGTGCATCATGATTAATTAATGGCGGATTCGTTTGGTGTAGGCGACATGGCCACTGGGGGGCAGTATAACTCTGAGGAGAGTGAAAGCTGTTCTAGCATAAACAAAACAGCGCTGAATTGTACAATTCAGAACAATGTAATGTATCATCGAAAACATTGAATGGACTCACCTTCCTCCATGGCTTGCATGGTTTGGACCTCCCTCCTCTTCCTCTCTAGCCTCTGACACTCCTCGAGACGCTGCTTCTGTGTGTTTGCTTCATCCCACAGCCCGGCCTCCATCAGCCGCTGGTCCGGACGCATGCGGCTGTCGGTTGGCGCCACTCCCTCCTCTGGCTCATTCAGAGTCAAAGCCAAGGAGGAGAAATAATGCATGTTCTCTGCATTGTCCCTAAGGGAGTGAAAGAGAAGATGGAAGTGAGCAATGGCGTATTCGGTCATTAGAGAAATATGGGAAGGAGTTTGAAAGGGGGCGTACGGGAGAGGGTATTTCTTCCACAGCAATTTTGGCTGAAGAGTCTGATAAACTGTCTTTTGTTTGCCTTCGGAGCCTCCACTTCGTTGACTGCTATCTACTATTTTGGCACTTTCCATCTTTTCATCCCATGTTCCTGATAGGATGTAATGCGCTGTGCCCTCAATGTCCTCCACCATGCCCGTCACCTGGAAAAGAAATCACTAGCCGTTACAGCAATGCGCACATTTACGAGTTTTGACGGAAGAACGGGGCTGCCATCATACTTTTCGCGGGACATCTCTGGAGAAGTAGCTGTAGGGCGAGAATTTGAGATGGCAGGTGTCCTTGGTGGTGCTGTTTACAATGTCGATGTCTCCGGACTGTAGAAACAACGCAAACAAAGCATTCAAATGTCTTAGTCTGAATGAATAATTCTCTGAATGTGCCCAAAATTAACAAAAATGAGGGAAAACCCCAACCTGATCAATCCAGAGTTTCCCCACGATAATATTGTGAACCGTTGAGGTCACTTTGCTCCACACGTAATGGTTCCCGCTCGAGTGGAACTGCAGGTGAATCTTTCCTATTTTGGATGGAAGAACATGCAGATATCACCCGAAACTAAATGAGGAAAGCATGAAAACACACGCAGCTTATGCTTCTTACCTAGTGGCATGACAGAGATGTACTTCCCGCGGAACTTGCTGTCAATAGTGATGTGTTGCCATAGCGTCCATCCTCGCTGGGAGGCGACGTGGTGGGCAGCAGCTGGTGGATGATGACTCACCTGGGAGTACACCATACAAGGTGATTGAAAAGTAATGACCCACTTTAAAATACCTACAATGATTTTTTTTATGAGGAAAACCATAATTTCTGGAGCAAAAAAGTCTCCAGAATACGTAATCACTGCCAGATAATAATAATCATAACTTTGACACACCTGCTCACAGATGGAGCGGTATCCGTATTCCTGCAGTCGGTCCAGCTCGTAGGTCTCCCCCAGGAGAGGGTTGAAGGGTTTGGACGTGCGATGGATGGTGGTGGAATAGGAGGAG